ACCACAGAAAAATGTATAACCTGCTATGGTCAAAATTATTATGATCACTGACTTTGGATTTCTAAATTAAAAGTATTATTTAAATAAAAAGTAAAATATGCTCCATTATCTGATAATAACATAAACACTTAACATAAAATCTCTTTCAGACAGCCATATATGTAGATACTAGTCTGACTGCCTACTTTTTTGAAGTAGAAAACCAGTTCTGTTAATAACAATCAAAAATTTTAAAAAACTGTTGCATTCTTAAACATGACAGAAACAAGAGTGTTGAGACTGAGCAGAGGCTAGAGCTGTGATGAACAGAAGGCAGGAACAGTTCTGGGGAAATCTTGGCTGCACAGTTGGTGGAGTGGGAACAGAATGAGGGTTGTCATTATGTTGGTGCATGGATTTATTAAACTCCAGTTTGTGGGGTTGGAGGCCTGATCTGCTGATGAAGCCAATGGAAGCTGGCCAAGCCCTGTCCCAGGGAGATCCCTTCTGCTGCCACCAAGTAAGAACTGTCAGATATTTTTTCTGCTCCTGCTGTGAGGACAGAGCCCCCCTGGGGGCAGTTCACTGGGAAATGTTGATGGGTGAGCCAGGGAAGCAGGGAAGAAGTGCAAAGCCATGTGGCAGAAAGTTTTGAAGTTTTATTCTCAGGTTTCTCTGTGTAGATGGCTTTGTCAGGTCTGTAACAGTGGCTACTGCATTTACAGTCTCTGATGTCTTCAGTGAGTAAAGGAACTACTGCTGAGATACAAGTGGCTACATTAAATTTAGGGATCACTTAGTGGCAGGCAGATCTGAACTATTGAAGCAAGGCTCACAATTATGGGGGATAAAACTAGTGTCTGAAGCATATCTGCATTTTGCATTTTATCATTTTTTTGAACCATGAAGATGAGGCTAAATTTCTCTTCTTGCATGTATAAAGGAGGAATGAGTCTTAACTGCCTGCTCCTCAGGCATAGCCTCTAACCCTGCTGTTCAGTGTAGTATCTGTTAGAAAGTTTTCACACTCCGAGTAATCTCTGTGCATGAATTTATACATCATGTGTGATTTATAAATATACATGCTGCTGGTAAGTACTGTATGCTGAGATAGGTGCCTGAAGTCAGGACTCCCACAGTATGCTTCAACAATTCAGAAAACTTCTTGGAATTTCTGGAACCCCTTAGTCATGGCAGCAGTTGCACACTGAACCATAGGTAGGTGTATAATGATGAGATAAACACAAGATAATGAATATTGATTTCAGGCCATTTCCTCTTTATGCAGAGGAGAATACTATTACATATAGCTGTGGGGTTTTCTTAGAAAATAACTACAAAAATGGAGTGGATCCTTATTTTCCTTCCGGGCATTCTGACTCATGTTTAGATTCATGTAGTATGGTATTGCTCAAGCTCTGTTATCTGAGGGAAATGTGCTTAAAAACCTCCTTTGGCAGTGCTGGAAATAAACAGAGGCACAAACTGGCAGTGCTGGTTTTCTCTAGTAGTGTCTTGGCCACTCTAGCTTGAGTCTGCCATTTCTGGATCACAGATTTGTTGGGGTGGGTGATGTTTCTAGCTGAAGCACAGCACCCAACCAAGCAACTGCACGGCCTTCATGGCAGAGTATTCTTCTCATATTTGAAATGCAGTCTGAAAGTTCTCCTCTTTCCTTCCACAGGACAAACAGGAGGACTTTAAGACGGTGGTTTTGGAGGGAATGGAGATGGCCAAGCATCAGGTGAGGGTAGCCTTTGATGCTTGCGTTGTGAAACAAGCTTGCCATAATAATACCATCACCTCAAGGCCCTGGGCACTATTTAGCATTCAGTAAGAACTAAGAGAAATCAGATTTTAATAGAACAAAGCTGAGAGAATTTTGAGGTATAAGAACCCTTATTTTTATAGATAACTTTAATTTAAAAAAATGAAAAGCTTTAAATTTGGTTTCCTGTACAAAATATATTACAAAGAGCTGATGGTAGTACTAAGAAGAATTATGATTGCAAATCATTATAAAATTAAATTGTAAAGTAATTTTAAGGCAAACTGCAGGTGTGAAACACACAATCCCTGGTTGGTCTCCATCAAATTAACTGTTATTTTAAGCATCCATGGAATTAGTGGTGTTTGCTTAGCCAATACTGCCATGAGGCAATGGCTTGGACAGGTTGTATTTCATTGCTCAGAGCTGGAATTTGCACATGCACCCCAGCTGGTTGGCTGCTGTGTGACACTGACACTTGCTGTGTGCTGGAGGCACATCCTGTCACCACTGGGTAATGCTAAGCATTGTACAGAAACAGTATGGAAGAAAATTCTCTTCCTTAATACAATTATAAGTTTTTTAAGGAAAAACTCTAAAAATTAATAGTTTCATTTAAAGAAGGTGGCATCAACAGCTCCTTTTGTATTGGAAATTTAGTCTTCCCATTACTGTGGTTTGGTGTGAGCCTTCCTTTTCAGAAGACTTGTAAAGCTCTAATAGTGGTCTCCTGTGCCAGGGAGCCAAGCCACCAGATACATTCATACTGAATTTAAACCTACTTGGGGTTTGCAAAATGGATGCCCTGTAGGCTTCTCAATTGCAGGACAGTTGCTTCATTTAAAGGGCAAAACTTGTATTTGTTTAAGTATCATGTCTTGAAAAGAAAATCTATTTGCTCAAAGGCTGTGCAATCAGTGATCCTTACCTCATCCTCTGCTCCCACTGCTGTCCTTTCCCCTTCATTCTTCTTTCATTACCAAGTGGACCCTCTGCCTCAGCCACAGGTGCTACCAGTGGGACAGGGATAGATCCACAGGTGGCTATTCTTGGTGAGGCCTTTTGTGCTTCTTTTCTCCTTCCTTCCTTCCAGAATAAAATCCAGTACTGCTGGAATTCTCCTTCATGGTAGATGCTCTCTGTACTGGTTTGTCAGTAACAGAACAAGGTGTTCCTAGTGGTGATAGTACCTAAGTGTCTAGATTGGAGCATGGTTTTTGACTCAGAGATAAAGGAAATAGGGAAGAACTGTTAAGGAACCTGGAGGTTGGTGCTCAGGTACTTTGTATGCAGATATTCAAGGCAGCCCTAAGCAGGGTTACAGCAGTGTGCTGCTGCTGCTGGGCATCTGGTGTGTGACTGCTGCCTTCACCTGTGGGGTTCCCGAAATTCTTTCCTTTGACATTCCCCCCATGAAATGGAAGGAACATAATGACTGAGTTCTTCTGAGAATACACAATGAGTAACTGAGCCATTTGCTTTTGAGAACAAGTGTTTCTCAGAATGTCTGTGTGTGTTACTTGTGACACTAATAATAGCACTGCTTTTTGCCCTTCCCAAAAACTCTGATCTCAAGCTGCAAAGTGAAAATGCTTTGGATCTGTTTTAACCTCCTCTGGGGTTTATCATCACTGATGCTGGCAGTATCAGCTGGTGAAGTGAGTGTGTGTCACCAGAGAGGAGCCTGTTTTGGAAAGCAGCTGAAGGAGCTCACAACTTCAGCTGTCACCAGCTTGGGCCGTTTGTGCTGCCTGGGAGCGGCTCCACAGGGCTGCGTGGTGGGGGCTGCCTTGCTTTGGGACAGCCCTGGGCTGAGGTGTTGGACTGGAATGCTCACTGTGACTCTTCCATGAGCATCAGCTGACTGCCACCTGTACACTCCCAACCACTGCCTCTGCAGGGCATGGTGAGGGGGAGCAGAGAACCAGCTTTGGAAGCTCCCCTTTAGCATTGGTGTCTTTTCTGGATAGGACAAATAGTTTTGGACTTTAGAAAAGTACTATATTATACATTAGTCTTTTGTTTTCACCTGTGCTTTTCCTGTCTTGTCCTGTATTATTTCCCACCTCTCTGTATTTGCAGAAAAACCCAGAGGAGGATGGCTCAGGGAAAACACTAAACTGGGAACCAGGTCACTTGCTTTTAACCATCTACACCGTTCGCAGCATTGAGCAGCTCTTGCCTTTCTTCAATGTTCTCAGCCAAGTTTTTAACAGCAAAGTCACAAGCAGATGTGTTGGACACTCAGGGAGCCCTGTCCTTTACCCCAACTGTTTTCCAAGTAAGGACATAAAAATGGAGAACCTCAAGACCTTCTCCAGCAAAGCAAGACAGAAGATAGAAGAAATGGTTGAGAAGGATTTTCTTGAAGGCATCATAAAATCATGAACCAAACTGGTACTACTCAGCCTATATGTAGTGTAACTATTTAAATGAAATACTGTATCTTTCTCAGTTGTATAGTATTCTTTTCTTATTTTGTATGTAATGAAATACTTAATGTTGTATTTAAGTTAAATATTTGTAAATAAGAGAAGTTCTGGATGTGGCCTGAATCAAGTTTAAATATTGGTGGCTCATATTGATTATGGTGCCTACTATTTACAGTAAATGTTTTGTTGTCTTGAGTTCTGTCTTAAAAAAAATGGAAAAAAATACAAGGTGCAATTTTTTCAATTTGTTTCCAGTTTATTTTTGTCTTTTTTTTTAAGATCTATTGGAACTTGTGCTTATTGAATAACCTGTAAAATGCTATTATGGCAGGAGTTAATACAGGACTACAATGAACTGTTTGTCAGAGGCAGACACCCTGAACCAAAGTATGCCAAGGAGGATCCTGGTGTGTTTAAAACATTGCATCCTGTTGGGCCAGCCCCTTCATGGTGCTGGGGAGCAGTTAAGGCCACAGAAGACAAACTTGTCTCTGTCGCCTCCCTCTCAAGTGTGATTATAAATATTACTACTGCAAATCACTTTCTAAATCATGTCATAAAGTATCTAATGAAGATAATATTGCAATAATAGATTATTATTTGCAAATATTCTTTTTCATTATATTGTTTCCCCCTCAAAACGAGGTGAACTGAATCTGAAGATGAGTGACAGCCTCTGTCTTACTGTTTGCCCACAGCTGTTTGGGCTACTGGGGGGAAGGTGGGGATGATGATCCTGCAGCAGCCACTGTGAGCACAGTCACAGCAGAGCTCTGGGCATGCAGCCATGGCCCGTGCTCTGAGGGTGTGGGTGTTGGAGTTCAGGCACAATGTGACAATGAACTAAGCTGGGGCAGGGAGGGGCAGAATTCCTTCTGGACATGGCCATGGCTTGTCAAGAAGTTAGACAAACTTGGGGAGGGGAACATTCAACAGCAAGAGCATCTCATTAATAGGTAAGTTAATAAAGGAGGTTAAGAATAAGCAGAGTGATATTACACTCAGTTCTGATCAATCCTTGCTACTCCCAGGAAGGCATGGCTCTGTGCACAGCAGCACATGGTAAAATAAGTGATATCAAAAGATAAGGGAAGTTGTGTGCTTTAACTCAATTCATTATATAGGCTGGGGTGGTGCTCCTTTCCCACCAGCAAGGTGGAAAACAGCCAGGCTCACTTCATGGGCGAGTGCATCTGCATTCTCCTGTGGAATGTTGGAAAAGTTAGTTATGCTGCTGTCAGCATCAGAAGAATAGAGCAAATACATGATATTATGGCAAGCATTTTCCTGGAAATGTTGTGTTCCCTATATTGCTCCACCAGCCACTGCCATCATGCTGGCAGAGAAAAGCAGGTAGAGCATGTGGGGAGTGCAAAACCACTGCTTTTCCTGTCACCTTTAAGTTCAGATCTGGACTAACTTAATAGCAGCCAGAATTTTTTTCTATTTTGCCTCTTATGAAATTGTGTAGTTAAGGACTGCTTTGGTAACTTTCTCCTGAGCTCTCAGAAGGCTGGTTGTCTTTTCAAAATCATCTGGTGTTTAATCTGCCTTTATAAACATTTATATTTTCATTTTGAAGATAAACATTGAGAACATTAAACATTACTTTTCTAAATAAAAGAAAATCCAAAGTGACTTTTTGTGATCACAGTCTTTTTTCCAAATTAAGCATTTGTTAGTGTGATTAAATGACTAGTATGGAAGCAGACTTCCTTCATCAGCCCCTGCTAGGCAGAACAGAAGCTTGTTTAATGTGAACAAGCCCATAAATGAGTGAAGCTCTGACCTGTGTGTCTGCCTCAGCATAGATCCTGACGACGTCCTCCGTTCCTGACGGACGGACAAACGCCCGGGACAGTCTGTGCTTCTGCACGAGCGCATCGATCTTCTCCTGCAGCCCCGGGGGCGTCAGTGCTCGTCTTTCTGCATCTGTGGTGTCAATAACACGCCTGTCTGCCACCTGTGGCATCAGAAACAGGATGAGACAAGTTCAGGGCTGGCTATGTCTTGCCGTCTGGAGAGGAGTTCAGTTTGGGAGCTCATAAAGGCTACTCAGACACTTGGGGGCTCCAGGACCCCTGCAGCATCTGTTAACCAAGGCTTGAGAGGTGTCAGCTGCCCCTTTTTAAAAAAAGGGTGAATTCTGAACATGCCTTCTTGGTCAGCCTGAAGTGAAGCTACAGCTTCTCTCAGTTGATCAAAAACTTAAATAGTTTCCTCCAGTTCATATAGAGCTCCCTATTTCATACTGTGTCTAACAGAATGCTGCCACATGGCACCTTCTGCTCAAGCTTTGTCAGAAGGCTGGAAAGGATACAGAAGCAAGAGCCTGAACATTCAAGTTATACAAAGTGGCACAGCAAGAAAAATCCAGCTGTCCAGCAGGCAGAGGCCTTAGAAAAAACAGGATTTTTCTAATTTAAAAGTTGGAGTTGATTCTTAAATTAAAATTTGAAGAGTTTTGGTCAAGTTTTCCCATTTAACATAGTTGGCTATTATTTAATCTTTTTAGAAGTCATATTTCTATTTTAGTCCAAATTAAATTCTTGTCCCTTCTCCGGGTTTTTTCCCAGTTTCTTTGGCCTATTTCTGCCCTTTCATGGTCTGTTTCAGCTTTAAAATAAAGGCAGGCAAAAGATGCTGTGAGCAGGGCCCCTGAGGCTGCTGTGGGGCTGAACCAGTGTGGCTGGTGTCTCACCTGGACCTTGAGCAGCCGATTGGGAAGGTCGGTGTAGAGGGCGTCCCACTGCTGCACACTCAGACCCTTCAGAGCCAGGATTGCCTCAATCACCAGCATGTCCGACACAGCATCGCCAACAGTCTGCCAACAGCGAGGGAAAACACTGCAGCAGGGAGCACAGGGAGGCAGGACTTCCTCAGGAACCCCCCAGCAGGCCCCAGCAGCAGTCTGACAGGAGTTCACAAACTGGCTAACTAACCCTGCCAACACCGTGCTCCAGTACTCTCAGCTTTTACCTGGTTAATCAGGTCAATCATGTTTTCAAGCATCTTTGCTGCTTCTCTTTTCTCATTATCTTTCTCCTCTTTTACCAGCTGTCGAATTTTAGTTTCAGCAGCTTTACTAAACAGTACCTAGAAGAAAAAGATAAGAGCTTGTCAAGATGAAACCAGGATTTATGCAGTAGTGAGGACAAAACTTTTACCATCTAAGCCCAAACAGCCATCATTAATGTTTGCTACCATGAATTCCCATCCCCTCACAAAGCACAGAGGAGCTGGTGGCAATGCTGTGATAAAGACAGAAGGAATAAACAAGTCTATTTTCAAACATGAGGAAAAGTCGTGTTTATAAAACTAAGCAGAGAGTGAAAAGACCTCCTTCTCCAGGTAATTTAACTAAAATTTTGTACATAGTGGGTGATCATATGGATTACCTGCTCATACTTACTGTGCCATGTCCATTTGCCTCAAAATAAACACCCACATCAAACTCCTGGGCCTTGTGGTGCAAGTGTTTCACTCCTGTTTTCACACAGTGCACAGGGACCTGCAGGCCAAGGGTGTGCAGAGAACAACAGCAAGGTTACAGACTCTCCTCAGCAGGCTGGAACTGAGCTCCAGCCTGCAAGGACTGTTCAAACTAACCCCTGTTTCATGGCCACTGAGGCCCCTGAGCTAAAATGCTCCACTATTTCTGCAGACCCAATTAAAAAATACTTAATTTATTCCTGTGATGAATAAAGACTAAGAAATAAACTCCTAACCTAGAAAAACCCAATTTAGTTTACAGCTTCAGGGAACACACTAGATTCGCATACAAACAGGAATAATACCTTCTCTCAATTCCTGAATATTTAGCTTGCTGCAGAAAATGAAACAGTGTCAAAGTATCAAGGAGCCTCTACTCACTCACTTGGTTGCAAAGCTATAAAGTCCTCAGTTTGTTTAAGAATCAAGGGATTTAATTAAACATTTTTAAAATTAATAAAAGCTGACTAGAACTTTTTAAGCCCTGCCCTTTTGTGTCTCCTTTGCCACCAAGAATTTAGTCACTACTGGAGGTTTGAAAGAGTAATTTAATTTTGCTTGATTTTAATTTTCCTAGCAATCACATTACAGTATATTTACTTTTAAAATAAAAAAATGTAAACTACCTAGGAAAAACCCGGAGAATACCTTCAGTGTTTCCTGGAGGTAGCGTGTTGAATTCCCATTGGCATAGGCTGTTTGCACCACTGCCATCTTGAAGTCCTGTTTCACCTGAGCAAACCAATAAACCAAGTTTTACTGTCCAGTAGGCACACAGCCAAACAAAAAGGATAAATGGAAACATAATCAGAACTTGTAAATGTACAATTAAAATCCTGGGTACTAGAGGGAGGCAGCAGCTCACTGAGAACTTCTGTAGCTTTAAAACAACATGAATTCTGTTCAAGTATTTGTACATCCCATGTTGACTTTTCTTGGGTTTGGCTGAAGCAGCTCTTGAAGCTTAGACTTTCCAAGCCCCTTTTTGGCCACAGCAGTGAGGTACAGGACAGATCTCTTTCTAAAGCTGGCTCACTTTAGGTAGATGTAGAGAGACCACATACCAAGCAACACAGCTTCCTTTATACTTTAGACTATTTTATACTTTAAAAATTAAAATGCCAGCATTCATTTCATATGTTAGAGTTACCTTGGCAAGAAGTTCTTTTAGGAAGATACTAATTAAAGTTGCTATTTTATCTCCATCGATCAGGTGAAAATGGTCAGCTGTGTCCTTATAATAATAAACAATTCTATCTGCATCACCATCAAATGAGCAGCATCTCTCATTGGGCTTCATGTCCAGCCCTAGTGCACAGAGGTACAAAAGCAAGTTAAAGACAGGAAAAGAAACAAAACCAGGTAATTTATTTCAGTGAGTGATTAGGAAAACACATTTTCTTTTCAAAGCACAGGTCTGCATACAAATGACTCCACTCAGGCACAGTTAAAGCCAGGATCCAGACAGGAGGCACAAGCATCCATCCCCAGCAGGCCCTGCCACTGAGCTGCTCCCAGCACTGCATTTCTCCAGCACACAACCAGCATGAGAAGGGGAAGCAACACCACAACCTGGTGTTCAGATTTGGCCAGCAGCTGCAGTGAGAGGGCAGCTGTCCAATGGACATCTCAGTTTAGCCTCACATAATCTCATATCCAAACCAGCCTGCTCTCTCAGTTCAGGGCTTTGCTTTTATACAATTATCAGAAAACAGACTGAAATCTTTTCCTCACTGGTTCCTGTCAGTGAGTCAGCTGCTGGCACCGGGCTGTTCATTAACCCAGCCCTTCTGCAGGAACCCGGAAAATGTTTCTTCATAATACAAAGGGGGTAAAATAAATAGCACTAAGCCAGTCCTGACTGACCTTTGGACTCTGCCAGCTTAACATGCAGAAGAGACTGCCAAACATATTTCAGCCAGTCAGAGAGATGCTGTGCTCCTCCAAGCAGTTCAGACTAACACAGATGTGCCAAACCTGGCCAGGCTGTTCCCACTTTCCATTGCACAAGGAGAGCCCTTCATGCAGTCACTTAGTAAGAAGGAGGGAGCTCCACCTACCCAAGGATGTGGACCCCTGCCAGACCCTGCAGAGGAGGTAAAGCAACATAAAATTACTGACTACTCACCTCCAGGTGGTTTCTGGTGAACTTTCACAAAATCTGCACCACATAAGTGATTGAGTTTCTCCTTGGTTCCATCATTATATATGTGGAATAGCACCTCTTGTGGAAAGTAGGGCTTCATTTCTGACAGTTTCAGGGCTCCAATTCCATTGGCACAGTCAATCTTCAGGTGCCTCTGAAACTCTCCGGAGCAGTGAGACTTTGTGCAAGGGAAGAAGGGGCAAAGTGAACCATTACCCTAGAGAAACCACACCTAGAGCATGCTGAATTAGAAACTTCAGGCCCAAACAGGCTAACAAACAGAAGAGATTAATTTTGTACATTTGTATGAAGAAGACAACACCTACTATTCACCTGTTTTATCAGTTCCATAAAAGCTTTGGAGAGTTTTTCATAATAACCTTCCAGTGTTGCTTTCCCATACTGCCCTTGGGTGTTTTGACAGCAGACCATGTAGTGGAGCTGTGGTGTTGTCACCAGACCATAATCTAGTGTGAAATAAAAGGAACAATACTCAGAATAGAATTGCAAATTAATTGCTGCTTGAAAGTTTTACAGTAAACTGACAAATGCAGTACAGGAAACACCTATGGAATTTTTCAATTTTGTCTTATGAAAACTCTTATAACCCTCCCCTGCCCTGCCTTGCATGAAAGCCATACAACCACCCTGAAATAAAACTGTCACAAGCAAGGATGGAAATGTGTCTGGGCTGTTGCCCTAGGAGTCACATTTACATAAAAATTATTGAAATGAGTTTAGAATTGCAGAAGTGTAACCTACCATGGTACTGACCACCTAGAACCTGGATACCATCTATAACTGACTGGGACAGCTTCTTGCTGCTTGGCCTGGAAAACAACAAGTACATCTGATGACCCTGGCAAAGGCATTCCTCTGTGGACTCTATGGAAGGAAGCACATATGGGTGGAAGACTCTACAAGCTTCCTGCCACAAGATTTAGACTCAATGTGAAGAAATCCAAACCTTTCTCTGCTGTAGGCAATTCCCAATAAAGTTTGAAATCCAACACCCCCAGGGATTGCAAACACATGTAAAGTGCTGGGCACAGGTGACACCACACAGAGCCCACACAACTCCCCCGAAGAAAGCACTGGCACTTTCATAAGAGCAGGATACAGCTACAGCCTTTTGTCATTACCTGGTGTCTCTGCCAATAAAAACCGAGGCATCTTTGTGCAGGTTCACTGCTGCTTTTTGGCAGATCTCAGTTATCACCTTCTGTAATTCTTGCTCCTCTGCATTTGCTAGTTGCGTGGCATACTCTTCCCAGGAGGGGTGCAGCATTTCTCCAAGAGGATCAACCAGCTTTACACCATTGTCTTCCTTGGCAGAAAAACAAAAGAACAAAAAACAGTAAGTCTAAAAGTGGGAAACTAATATCATTTTAAAGACAGACAACATGTGGTTCAGTCACATTGCTTCTTTAAAAGTGGAGAATTTCTGGGATGCAATAGCTTAGCTGTTTATTTAAACCTCCAACAAGCCCCCAAAGAAGCACTATAACAAGCATACTGAGTAACCAACTCTTTCTCCCTTATAATTTTGGTGTGAAATTCATTCGACATTAAAATTACATAAGAGGAGATTCTAATAACCTTCAGTGCTCCATAGCAGCTAAAGTTTAAATGCCTGGTTGGTAATCGCTGCATTTGAATGTCTATTTTTAAATCTTACAGATTTTACTCAAAGGTTCTTCTCTTCTCAATGTTACTCCTAGCTCCCCAACCTTAGAAAGTTACATTGCAACATTAAATGCTTCCTGTGTTACACCATTTCCACATGAAAAAAAATCCTGGTTTTGTGTATAGGGCAAAAATAACTTCAGGGAGACCAGAGGCCGCATTTACAGGGAGCGAGCTGAATGCTTTCGGCAGTCCCAGAGTCTTCAGGGTCTGGTTCTCTCAGTGCTGTGATGAGATTGATTCCAACAAACTGATCACATCTTCCCACTCTCTATCAAAGCACTTCACATCATGGCACCGAACGGATGGCCTGTTTGAGGAGCGGGCAGTCCTTCCTTACTTCAGGGTTGTGCGACGCCGTGACCATGATGCCAATGGTCGCAGTCACGGCCTTGGAGCGGAGGGCGGCCAGGAGCCCCATGCGGAACACGACGTGGTCCAGGTGCTGGGCCGCGCTGCGGAACCCGGCCGTGCCGTAGTGCAGGGTCAGCCCGGCAGGCCGCGGGTGCAGCGCCGAGAACTTCCTGAGGGCTTCGGAATCCATCCCTGGGGAAGGAAGCGACACGGATGGCAGGGAGAGCGGACAAGCGGCTGGGAGCCGCCTCACGCTCCGGAGGCTGCGGTGCCCAGAGCGCTGCCAGCAATGCCCGGGCACCGGCGCCGGGAAGGAGCCTCTACCCTGCCCGGAGAGCAGCGGATAACAGCGGGATCAGACACGAGCAGGTCACGGAGGGACGGAGAACCAGGATTCCCAGTCTGGATCCAGGGAGAGCCAGGATTCCCAGTCTGGATCCACGGAGAGCCAGGATTCCCAGTCTGGACCCAGGGATCCGAACAAGTTCCCGCAGCGGCGCTTCCTGTTTCTCACCGTGACATCAGCCGCCCAGAGCGCTCGGCCGCGGCTCCATGCACTGACTGCCGAGCCCAAAGCAGCGAGTCCCGCCTCGCCAGGCGCTTGCAGGGCGGCCCCAGCGGTGTTCCCAGAGGGGCACTGCCACACAGACACCAGGCCGGGCGGGCGGGGCCGGCCGGACACGCGCACCCTGCACGGCTGCGTCCCTCGGGACCCCCGGCGATGGCGCGGGGACGCGCAGGCTGGGACGGGACGGGACGTGTGGGATGGGATGGGATGGGATGGGATGGGATGAGTGGAACGGGATGGGTGGGGCGCGATCCCGCCGGAGCTGCCGCCGCGCGCCCCGCACGGAGCCGGCGCAGCCCCGCCCACTCAAGGCTGGACCGACCAATGGCGGCCGGGAGGGCGGGGCAGCGCCCGCCGCGTGGCACTCGGGCCACGCCCCTGCCCAGAGCAGCGGCCGCGCAGGCGCCGCCCCGCCCGCCCGGGAGCGGCCCGGGGAGAGGCCGGGAATGGCGGCGTCGGCGGGAGCGGCGGGGCTGGGCCGGGCTGGGCTCCCTGTGACAGCCAGCCCCGCACAGCTTCACTGACAGCGCGCTCGGATTACAAAGTTGCCCCCCCAGTGCGCTGCTTTTGGCTGGGGCCGGGTTAATTTTCTTCCCAGCGGCTGGTACGGGGCTGGTTTTGGATTTGTGCTCAACACAATGATGATGATGTTGATGATGATGATGATGATGATGATGATGTGGAGATGCTTTTGTTATTGCTGGGCAGGGCTTACACAGAGCCAAGGCCTTTCCTGATTTCTGTGCTGCCAGGCTGGGGAGGATGGGGGAGCCTGGGAGGAGACACAGGTGACCCGGACAGGTGACCCCACTGACCAAAGGGACATTCCAGAGCATGGAACATCACGCTCGGTACATAAGGCAGGGAGGAAGGGGAGGACGTTTGCAGCGATGGCGTTTGTGTTCCCAAGTGACCCTGAGGTGTGATGGGGCCCTGCTCTCCTGGGCATGGCTGAACACCCACCTGCCCATGGGAAGCAGGGAATTCATTCCTTGCTTTGCTTGTGTGCATAGCTTCTGCTCTCCCTATGGAGCTGCCTTTATCTCAACCGATGAATTTTCCGCCCTTTACCCTTCCGAGTGTCCCCGATCCGCGGGTGGCGGGGCCTGGCTGCCGGCTGGCGGTGAGCCCCGACACGCAGCCAGCACTGGGTGTATGTGCTGACAGATCCCATCAATAATGCCCCTCTGCCCGCACCTCAGCGCGGGGCTCCGTTCCATTCTCCATCGCTGAGCCCGGCAGGGCCCGCACGGCTCCTCCCGACCGCCCCTGCCCGGCTGCTGAGGCCGTGTTTAGCCAAACTCTGCCCTTGAAGGATCGCGGGGCTTCCCTGGGGCTGAGCCTCACCATGCGCCAAACCGCGGGGTTTGACTGCAGTCCTCTCGTTGCAGGCGGGCGCGGAGGGCAGTGCCATGGCTGCCACGGTGAAAGAATGCCTGGAGCTCCAGCTGCTGGAGGTGGAAATGCTCCTTTCCATGTTTCCCAAGAGAGGAGAATTCAGCCTGGATGCGGATGCCGTGCCCAGCATCCAGCGCTACCTGAGGAATGCTGGCGGAGCGCTGCCCCCGCAGCTGGAATATCGCATCGCGCTCGATGTCGGGGAGGCCAAGGTGAGACGCTTGGTCATTGGTGCTGTTGTCTGTACTCCTGCACACACTGGAAAAGGCTGCCCGGAAAAAAGGGAATTAAAAAACCACCACATTTTTTTGCTCTTTGAGAAGTCTAGAGTAATAGAAAATCTCAGCTGCTGCTAACATCTATGTTGGAAATATAATATTGTAAAAATAGCCCCAAATGGCAGACTGCAACTATGAGGAGTCACAAGAACACAAAAACAAAACCAGCCTATAAGCAGTGAAACCAAACTCTATGTATAAGGAGTTACAACAGTTTAACTGATTGAGGAAAGGGATTGACCTGATTGGGGTAAATACTTGCACAGAGAACACAGGTCTGAGTGCATACTAATTGTCTGTTCTCAATTTCTAATGACTAGAAACTCAGCCTGAAAGCCATTTTCCATGGAATGAAGGTAATCAAACATTAGAACAATTTACTGGGCAATGAGATGGCCTCATGATTTTTTGTAAACTTTAGGTACAAACTTAAGTATCTTTCTAAAATGCACCCTTTCACCAACCTACAAAGAGAAGTTTTATGAACCATGTGGGGAGGCCTTGTGTAGGAGTAGTGGGGTTTTTTTCCATAGCAGATTGTCAAGGAACTTGGAAAGATAATTAGTCATTTCATGATTCACTGGTCTCTACAGGACTAACATATGATTGTGCACTGTAGTGAGCACCCCCTAAGAGTGTACAGGAGCTTGAAGCACTGAGGGCACATAAATCCTGCCTGTTCTTGGACTAGAGGCAGAGTTCAGCTGCCAAAGAACTGCGATGCTCTGTTTGAAGGCACTGTAGGGATAATCAAGAGAAATTCAACAGCCCAGTGTTCATAAGAGATCAGATAAGATAAACGTGGGGTCTCCCTGACCTGAAATGTACATAAATCTTCTCATCCCCTATAATCCTGACTCCTCTTTATGGTGAATACTTCCTTAAAATAATGGTAACACACAGAATCACAGAATGGTTTGGGTTATTAAAGGGCAAGTTATTTCCAACTTAAAACTGTGTCTCTGTATGCAGTAGGTACAATCACAAACACCATTCCATGTAACTCTTGGCTTTTTTTTCAAGCAGCTGGGCTGAGTTTATTAGTCATGTGCATTTGGTAAGGGATGAGATTCACAAAAGTCCTTGACTCCAACAGTTCATTGCTGTAGCAACACTGAGCTAGAAATATCCCTGGAGGGTAACTGTGTACCTTCTCCCAAGCCACAGCATTAGTTCTGTGAACAGCACAAAAGCTGCCTGGATATCATGGGAAGTGTTGTGAAAGTGGCAGCATGATGCAACACAAGAAAAGGAACAGACAAAAGAATGGGTTATTGGGACAAAAGGGAAGTGGGAATAGTTCCAGTCAGTAGGATGCTGCAATCTTGATTACATCTACTCATAATCTGCCTCTGTCAGGGAAGAAGAATCTAGTGTGTCTTCAGTAGCTGCAGAATTAATCTTTTCTCTGTGTGTGTCTTCTGTTTTTAAGGTAAAGGTGGAGTTGCAGGTTCTCCTTCCTCATATGTACCCTCAGGTGGCTCCTCAGCTTTTTGCCAGATCAGATGCTCTGCACAGACAGCAGCAGTTGCAGCTCAATACTCGTCTCACGTCTCACATCAGCTCTCTGGATCCAGGAGATCTGTGTGTGTGTGAGGCTGTGCAGTGGGTGAAGGACAACACCCTGCCCTTCTTGGAAAGCTGTCAGGCCTCGTCTGAGCGTGCTGCTGAAGCAGTCAGGGCTAAGGAAATGCTGCATCGCATGTGGATCTACAGCCATCACATATACAGGCAGGAACTGAGGAAGAAGATTTTTGACTGTGCAAAGAAGTTAAATCTGACTGGCTTCTGCCTGACTGGCAAACCTGGTGTCATCTGTGTGGAGGGACTCCAGGAAAACTGTGAAGAGTTCTGGCGTGTTATTAGGTATCCCAACTGGAAGCACATTTCATGCAAGCATGTGGAGAATACAGAAACAGAGGGAAGCATTGATAATCTTCGTCTCTTTCACAGTTTTGAAGACCTGCAGTTTCAGGCACATGGTGATTATGGCCTGAGGAATGACTATCACATGGATCTTGGCCAGTTTCTAGAATTCCTGAAACAGCATCAAAGTGGACACATTTTTCAGATTTTATTTGGTGTTGAAGGCAAACTTTCAGACAATTGAGAGAAACTGCTTATGAAGAGGTCTAATTCTGGAGAGCAAGAGGTGTTGCTAACACTGAAATATTTTGCTTTACAGCTACTGTGAAAAAGGAAACTTTTAACATCTGAGATGAATGGTTCAAGTAGTTCATCTCAGCTTTTGTGCTCAACTGCCACATATTTTTGAGACATGTTCACTGATTTTCTAAGACTCTAAAACTGGCATTTTTCTCTGTGAGCCATGCCTGCTAAATATTCCAAAGTGTGTTAGGAATTATACACTTCTGTTTCATCTGTACTGTGCTGTGTGAATTTCTTCCCATCTCATTTTAACCTACTCTCTTCCAGTTTAAAACGTTCTCCTGTCTTGTCACTACGTGCACTTGTAAAAAAGTCCCTTTCTCTTTTTTGTAGGTTCCCTTCAGGTACTAGAAGGTGCTATAATGTCTTGCCAAAGCCTTCTGTTCTCCAGGCTGAACAATCCCAATTCTCTCAGCCAGTTGTCACAGGAGAGAGATGCTCCTCCAGCCTCTGATCATTTTTTGTGTCCATCCTCCTCTGGACTTGCTCCAGCAGGTCTGTGTTCCTTTTACGTTCATGTCCCAGAGCTGGATGCAGTGATCTGTTTGGGGTCTCACAAAAGTGGAGTAGAGGGTGAGAATCACCTCCCTCAGCTGCTGGTCACGCTGCTTTTGATGCAGCCTAGGATTCAGTTGGCTTTCTTGGCTTCAAGTGCACATCACTGGCTCACGCTGAGTTTTGTGTTTACCAGTACCAAGTCCCTCTCCTCAGGGCTGCTCTCAATCCATTCTCCACCCAGTTTGTGTTTGTGCTGGGAATTGCCCTGACCTAAGGGCAGGATCTTGCACTCAGCCTTGTACACAGACCCAGCTCTCCAGGTCCCTCTGGATAACATCCCTTCCTTCCAGTCTGCTGCCTGCTCCACGTGGCTTGGTGCCATCAGTAAACCTGCTGGGGGTGCAGCTGGTCCCACTGTCCCTGTCACTGACAGCCCCTGAGGAATGTCACTCCCACTGGTCTCCACTTGGACATCATCTATTGACTGCACCTCTGCAACCAACCATCCTTAGCCACCTTCATCCATCAAATCCATGTCTCTTCAGTTAAGGATGTCATGAGGCAAAGTGTCTGTCTGGTTATGTTAATAACAATTTTTCATCTGTTCAATTCATGGCATTTTATGTTTACACTGTTAGGCCAAACACCTTGGAAATGAAAATGGGTCAGATGAGACAAAGTTTAGTTTGACCCCTTACATTACGTAAGGAAATATATGTAAAACACAGAAAATAGGAAAAAGCCCCTATTTTATGTAAAAATATATATATATATTTAATATTACATAAAAATA